ATTGCAACAGCTCCAATGACACACTTGGCTGCACTAGAAAAATGAAGATGTCACCCACCTCGCACTGAATAAACAAACGAACAGTATTTTCCGGCGGCTGACACGGCCGGCGACACACCGATGACATGTCGTTGACACGCCGGTGACACGGGTTGGTTCGGAGCCGGTGGCAGTGCCAGGAGCCGACCTGTCCTGGCGATCCGTCAGAGCGACCGGCATGACACATCTCAACAAACAGGGCCGGCGGCGGCGGGGGTCGTCAGACGGGTGGTCGGCGCCTCTGCTGCCGCCGCCGCGTCCCTGGCGCTCCATTACGGCGTGTTACCGGGACGCGTCAGGCTGCGAGCGGCACGCACTCTGTCTCGATCGGCCGCGGCGCGCCGGGCCGCTGCTGCTGACAGCCGCCACCGCCAGCCGATTCATCAGCGGCCCGCGCCGCCCGCGCCGCCGTCATCGCCGCCCCGCCGCCGGCAGGGCTGCCACGGACGGCGCGTGTCGGTATAGACTCCGGCGCTAAACCACTGTAGCACAGCCGTCCGTCGTGGCTACCGCCGACGCCTTACCGACGTTTGTGGTCACGTTGGACGTGAGAGTCTCCCCAATCCCATGAGAGCCACCCACCGGCGTCGAATCGGCCCGGAGCCGTGGGGAGAAGCGCCGCACCAATACAGCTCATAGCCTTACCGGCAGCCACTGACCAACTGACCGGTTCCCAGCTGCCTCTGGCAAACGAGACCTCATTCACAGACAGTATGGGCGCGACGCCCGGCCAGCCTTGAAGACGGGCGGTTTGAGTCGATCCGGATGGCAGCGATTCGGACAGTTCAGCTGGCTGTGGAGGCTGCTCAACTGCCTGCGACGACGGCCGCTCGTCGGGTCTGTCGCCGTACGCCCCGCTCGGTGAGCTGTGGTCTGTCGGCCGTCCGAGCTGCCCGCCCGCCGTGGATTGTGGTCGGCGGACCACACCGCTGGCTGACCGCTGGCTGCTGATCGGCCCCGCCGGTCAGTTGTCCACAAAGCTGCGCCGTCGGTGGCCGCTATTATTGCTCTACTCGCGGAGGCGGAGGGGCGGCGGAGCGGATTGATTGCGGCCGGCCGTTCTGCCGGACGGCGGCGCCGCGCGGACCGTCGTCTCCTCAGCTGTCTCCGGCACGAGTCGTGACGCGGAAATCGATCTCCCCCGGCCAGGAGGCGTGGTGGGCTGCCGGCGGTCCGGCGACGCGGCGTGCGGCGCGCGGCCGGCCACTCGGCGCCGTCTCCTGAGATCAGGATAAATGTTTTGCCAGCCGCGCGTACGGGGCGGTCGGCAGCGCGGGAGGCCGCCGTCCGCTCCCTCCGCCCAGGGGAGGCCGGCGGCGCGCGGCGGCGGGCGGAGGCCCTCACCAGCGCGGGGGCAGCTCCTCTGCCTGTCACCGTGGCACTAATGGGAGCGCGATGACCGGCCGCGCCGCTGCCGCGCGCAACTCAACCTGTCTTCGGCGACACGTAAAGCGTTTTTACTGTGAGAGGAGGTGACGACCCGGCGGCGGTCGCGCGAGAAAGAACGCGTCAGCTGTATGACGAGCGTATGCATTTCCGTCACCGGCGAGGGGATACTTAGCCGGGCTTTTTACGGGACGTTTTTCAACAATGGTGCCGCTTAAAACGCCATCAATCGTCCAGTGTCCAGATCTGCATCTGCGGTCTGCTGCGGGACTGCGCAGATACGGCTGTCATCGCTCCGTCGCGCACAGAGCGGCGCTGCTGAGGGCTGGCTGAGGTCACCGGAACGCCAACATCCGCGCCCAACAGGTCACAGCGCGTTACACTGTGTGTTTTCGCCACTGCGATGTCGGCGATGTCGCGCGTGTGAGCCGTGGTCGCCGCCGCCGCCGGCGCACCAGCCGCCACTTGAGCCAATCGAATGGCAGCCCCTTTGTGCTCTTTGTAGTGCGGCTCGGCAAACTTTGAAAGGAGCGGGTTCACTGACGCCTGGCGACCTAAACGTCCCCCGCGCGGTCCTTTGGCCCAGCTAATGGATGGTCGCGGACTTTGCCCAAACATTCTCACCCTTCAGGCACCAGCCAGACCATAGCTCGGGAATTTCTATAAGCGCACCATTTACCGTAAGTGGTTCAATTGAATGACAAAGAAATGGTGTCGTATGTTTTCAGGCACCCCTATAAGCGCTCTCTAAAACACGAGCCTGAAAGGTTAGGTGTTCATAAAGAAGACGTTCTTTCACACTGCACGTCATTAGGTGCTTAGCACGGCCTTTGTGGTTAGCAGTAACCTCGCGATTCATGACTCATGAGATCTCAAAGGTGGTCCCTCAAGATGTCGGCTTTGCTGTACGACAGCTGCGGCGAATGTTCCGTATATCAGATACGGCTGCCAGCACCTGGCGAGCTGGCCCTGCTCCGAGGTTGACTGAGCGGATTTCATTCACGCGTCGTTCCACAAACATGTGCGTTCCATCTCCTCGGCTCCTGCGCTCGGCCGGAGATGAGACGCATTCAAGACGTGCCGCAGCCGACAGAAGCTCACGGCAGCAGCTCGGCCGTGGCTGGCACGTTTTGCCGAGCAATTACCTCCTAATGAGACCAGACGCCGGAATGCGTTCATTTTTTAGGCGGCTCGCCAGCCCGCCTTCAGGCAGATTTGTGGGAGCTCATTCCTCGGCTGGGCAGAGCTTGTCACCATCAAAAAACACCGCGGCAGGCGCCGGCCGGCGCGAACTCACCGTCTTCATAACAGCTAATGTAGGCAGGCAATCTCCTCTTATTTATTGCACATCTCTGTGTGTAAATTAGCCGCTCGACTGTGGCAACAAGTCAGTGGGGACCGGTTGGCCGGCAGCGGGTCGCGCCCGGCGGACAACTGGTCGGGACGACAGCCGCGGCAGCCGCGGCGGCGCGATCATCGAGCGGCGGCGCGACCATCTCGGGGCTGTCGCTAACGGCCTGGAACGGCGCCTGGCCCCGCTGATAGCGACTCTCGGCTGTGTCGCCGCGCCGATAGTCGCACGGTCCGGCTGGACAGAGTCCAAACAAACACAGAGCGGCTGGAAAGGCGGCGGGGACGGTGGACGGTGGGGAGCACAGTCCCCGGTTTCACATGCGTCCCGTGTCGCCGCGCGGACCCGCCGGGCCGGCGCGGGGTGCGCCGCCGGTGAGAGCCGCCGGACTCACTGGGAGTGGCGCCGCGCGGGGGAGGCAGGAAGTGGAGGGTTGCCACGGCACCGGCGCAGGCAGCGACTCAGCCAGGAGCGGCCGTAAACTTTTTCATGGCCGGAGCGTGCCTGTCGGCCGATCCGGCGCCGCTGCCGTGCACCCCGCCCCGCTCCCCCAGTCGGCGCCGCCACACCTGGGGTCAGACCTCCGGCGGAGCGGTCACAGCCGCCGCCAGCCCAGTCGATAACTGGGCCAGCTGAAATTAACGGCTATTGACGCAGGCGGCACACGTCACCGCCCTGGCGCAGTGTAGCTCCCTCGGCACAGCGATTCGCCCGCACCGAAGACAGACCGTCCGTCTCGGCGCCGTCTGATTATCAGCTGCGCCGTCGGAGGAACCTGTTCTGGCATCAACACCGGCCCGCCCGCCGCTCCGGTAACCTGCCCCGAGCCACTCGGATGCAGCAGGGCGACGTCATTATCAGATACATTATAAACGATGCACGCCAGACACGCCGCGCGGCTGAGGAGGGTCGCGCGGCGATACACTGCCGCTCGCACAGACTGCTCGACAGTGCAGGAGGGTTCCCAGACAGCTCTGTTCACCTGTCTGTCCCTGACAGTGAGCGGTATCGAGCGGCGGACCGGAGCTCGAGTCGAAGGTGACGTGTGCCGGTAGGTCACCCGGTGCGGCCGTGAGTCACCAGCGTCGTGAACGACGACCGAAGGCGCCGGTCGGCCGGCCGACCGTCCGCCCTGCCCCCGGGATGTGGACGGGAAGGGCGCGGCACTCCTTGGCGGAGCGATGGTGTCAGAGAAGTAATTCTCATGCGGATCCTTACTTCTCACACCTCAGCACACCCCCGCCTCGGGATGCATTCGATCAGACTGCTCCCTCCCCGCCACACGCCCTCGACGAGCCGCGGCTGGCGTCTATCTCTGCCGACCAGGCCCGGCGTACGGAAGAGCCGCTGTGTGGCCGTAGAACACACCCTTGGCAGGCCTGCGGCGTTGTTCGGCGGCTGCAATATGCTCCATATTTGCGCCGGAACGACCTATTACGGCAGCTACGTCCCGAGAGAATACCGCCGCACCTCGGCTCGGAACGGCCACGGCGCCGCTCCATATTCCGCACATATTCAGGCCGGCGCTGTACTCGTATTGTCTTGCCAGCGGCGAATAATTGTGGTAGCCCATGCACGGCCCGCGAATAGTCCCCCAGCTCCCGTCATTAATCCAACTCTCGTGGCGCCACTCCGTTAATGAAATCATTACAGGATTGTCGCGTGGACGAGGTACAAAAACTGCAGCGCTGAAGGCGGCTTTTATCGGCGCGTCACTCGCCGCCGCCGCGTCGTTGGTCGTCGCCGCCGACGGCGCTGCTGTCGGTGACCGCAGATGGAGCGCCGATGGAGCCGGCGCCCAATGCAGCCGCGCGCTCAATGCGCCCATTGTTGTGGCGTCGCCGACGTGCAGCTGATGGGGGTGCCACGTGCCGAGCGAGCGGTCGGAGCCGCGGCGACCGCCGACCGCGGCGGGTACACTGAGGGCGTCTGTGTGTCAGCACAGAACTCTGAGAGGCTGTGTGGCCGCAGCAGACACCTCCGGAGTCCAGGGCGTCTGTGAGCCGTCTCGTCGCCGACTCATCGGCTCTGTTCTGTGTCGAGGTGTGCAGTTCCTGGCTGTGTTTCTCCCCCGTGCGCCGTGTGGTTAGCCTCACCCTGTCCAAACCCTACCCCGAGTTCACCCACGGCCGCCTGGTCTGCCTCAGTGTTACAAATAGCACAGGTGTCTTACATTCCCCCGCTCTGACCCATGTGATCTGACAACATCCCTCCCTCTCCACAGCGCTGCGGGAGGAGTTTCGCGTGTCGCCGCAGGACGTGCAGGTAGCGCAGACAGAGACGGCGCGCCTGCGCTGTGACCCGCCGCGGGGTCATCCGCCGCCAGAGGTCACCTGGCTTCGCAACGGAGAGCCGCTTGACGTGACCGGGTCACGGCGGCTCCGTGTCGACGGCACTGACCTGGTGGTGACGGATGCGCGGCACCATGACGAGGGCGCCTACACGTGTGTGGCGCGGAACAGAGCAGGGGAGCGACGCAGCCGGCCGGCCCGGCTCACTGTGCATGGTGAGTGGGACAGGGGGAACTCGGAGGACTGGAGAGCGCAAAATCAAGGGCCGAGGGACTATAGGGGGAAGTAGTTAGATGAATTCCCGGGACGCGAAGGGAGGGAAATGGAAGCTAGAGGACAGGGCGAGTAGGGCATGGGAACCGGAGGAGGATTGAGGAACACAAGGACCTAGGGGGAAAGAGATGAACTCACGGAACGTCAGGAGGGAGGAAAGGAGAAGCAATGGGGGTGAGCAGGGAAATCTTGCAAGCCGTGGGGAGTTGAAACTCACGAGACACTCATCATGGTCTGTGAGTCTCATAGTCATGACCTCGGTGAGCATGAGATTCTGGCTCATGGTTCGTAATGTTTGGGTAGGCTGGCTCACATTTTATGCCGCATGGTGACTCGGAGGGTTCCGACTCACGGTTTATGATAAAACGAAACGTGACTCATGTCATGGACTGACGATTCAGAATACGAGCTGACCAATGACCAATTTATAGCCCGTTGCATGATCTGCACGAAACAGCCTATTGGCAATATCCTTTCAGTATCTGGGCATTGTAAATGTAAATTGAAACGTGTCTTTTGCAAGTTGCTTTCCTTTTACGTCCTCACGCACCGCCAAATTGAGTCTCGTGTAACACGCCATCGGTGATTCATGAAGCTGGTTAGTGCAACTCGTTATCAAATGATTCTCTGTGACACTTATTGGCGTGAAATCCCGCCTTAGCACTTACGATGGTCGAAAAGCCGCGGAATTATGCAGCGATCAGAGATCCCTCCCTAGAGTATGCAGTATGCACCCTTCTCTGCGTGGTTCTGTAAGTAGCAAATCCATGATTCACACTTGAAACTAGCAGCGGAAACTGACGTTGACAGACCCCGTGCAGCTGGGACTAGCAGAACAGTGTTCGCCACGGGCCGGGCCAGCCCAACGGGCCATGGGCCGGGCTGGGCTACGGGCTGGGCCGGGCCCCCAAATATCATTAGTTAACGGGCTATGGACGGGCCGGGCCAAGAGCTTTGTGCACTATGGGTTTTGCGACTAATGTCAATTTAAGAAAATTTGGAAACTGATGCAAACAAAACCCACTGGGAAAATACAAAAACTAAACCAAATTTAAGCAATGTGAAAGAAAACCTACTTGATATTGAATTTTGGGAATCTTGAGAATTATCCAATATCACATCATGTCACACATAGGAGGGTTTTCATACAAATTCCGCAACCAAAAAGATCAGAGAATTTCTAGCATCATTAGTTTGTTAATAAAAGTTAAAATGTAGTCATCAGAATAACTTACTTAGCACTAAAACTCCAAAAACTAAGAAGCCACTCAACAATGATGGGCTACAGGGCTACATTAAGTTTAACACTTATATATGGCGATAGTGAGACAATTCCAACAGTCTTTTTTCCTTCACCGACGGCTTTTTAACCCGCGCCCTGCTGGGGGTCCTGGATTTCCACGCCCTGCTGGGGGGGGGGGGGGTGTTTGAACACCCCCCTTGTAACTCGGCTCCTGGGCCACGTAGCGATACGCAGAAGGCGGCGTTCGAAAGAGCGTAAAAAATAATGACGAAATCACTTCGGTCAATTTTTTGGTCAGGTCAAAGGTCAGGTCACCAGAGGTCATTGAAGGCAAAATTTCGCCGATTTCCAGGTCGAATGTCGAAAATTTCCAAGAAGCCAACGCATAACTCGGGAACCAATAGAGCTACAGCGCCGCGGAAAAGCGCATTCGATAGCCCTATTAACGCCCTTTCTGAGTTCTCTCAGATTTGACCTAAGGTCAACGGTTTTTCCTGCAGGGGGCAAAAACTGCAAAAATAGCCGATATTTTCGAAAACAGTTTTTCTGCAATAACTTTTGATCCAAGCCTTTTACGAGCTTACTTTTACCGGCATCGTGTTCCTCTCGTCAAGACGCATCGAATGAACTATAAGTTGACCTTGAAAGGTCAACTTGAAAATTTGACCTCAGGTCAAGGTCATGACCTGACCGGAAAGGGTCATGTTGCATATCAGTCGATCCGTATCGTCGAGCTGAACACATCTAAGGCGTTTTCATCGCTCTAGCATGCCTCTATCAAAAGTTATTTGCGAAAAACTGTTAGATACCATTCGTGACCTAAGATGACCTCAGGGCATAAACAAGGGTCACGGACACCATTTTCAAGTTCAGTGTGTCTAAACCACTTGTAATTCGGTGTTTAGGAGTGTGTATAATGTCTTTCATCCAAAAGAGGCGCATTTCAATTTTCTCCCATTGACTTATAATGGGGAGGTCGCAAAATTGACCTGACCTTAGGTCATCGATATCAAAATTCTGAGATATACATTTTGTACATGCTATTGCTCTTAGCAATCGCTGAAAGTTTCAAAGCGATCGGTCACTCGGTGTAGCTATGACAGACATTGAAAGTTTTTATGAGGTGAGGTCACTTCAAGTGACCTGGTGACCTGACCTTGAATGACCTTGGTCTGAAATTTTCACAACATGTGTAGAATTGATGTATGATAAGGTGTACAAAAAACGGCGGCGCTCCGCGCCGCCGTTTTTGAGATATTCGCGAAAAACCACAAGGGGGGGTGTTCAAACACCCCCCCCCAGCAGGGCGCGGGTTAACGAACAGAACCTTAAAAGGATACTCACAAAACACACTGTACGTAACGAGGAACTCTACAGAGTATTTCGCGATGAAAGCTTCTTTAAATGTCCATAAATTTGTCAAAATAAATCACAACAAACCAGCGCCTTCTCAACAAAACTTGCAATAATGGCGGCGGCGCTATGTTTATGTGGCGGCATCTAGGTAGTATACACAACAGTATATCAAATAAATACGTTTTTTAAGTAAGTATCAAGGTGAAAAACAAAATTAAACAATTAAAAAATAAAACCTAAATCACGAAGTCTGAAAACTCGAACGAAAAACAAAACAAAAACTTGATCATATATGTTTTATTATACAGTTGGTCAGGATCGCTACCTGCCGCAGCTGGGGCATTCCACGTCAAATCGAACAAAAATCGGCTGATTTGCACCTTACCATCAGCGATTTCATTATAAATTTGTGAGCGAGTTCCTGTGTCGCCCCGGACATTACATCGATGTTTTTTGCACATTCTGACCACAGGTCTTCTAAATATAGGGCATCAAATTTTTACAAAATGTTGCATCTTTATATTTTTGAACGACCATAACTTTGGTTGTACTTGTTTGATTTGAATGAAATAAACCTTACTGTTTAGGTAATTTCTTAACCATTTGTTTAGAATTGCGCCTGCTTAAATATATGACCTTGAAATTTGCTTAACTCTGTTCTTAAGCACAAAAATTAAAATAGCAAAAAACACGTCACCTTCGATTTGGCTCATTTTCATATATTTTATTGCCTACCATATTCTTAACAACCTGTGAAAAAATTAGAGTGGGCCATTCATAAGTTTTGAAGAAAATGGCACATATGCAAACGTATGTTAGCACGCGCAGTGGAGGGGGAAGAGCGAATTTCGTCCCACCCCTCCTGTTTTTCGCCAATATCTCATAATATTAATGCGAAATTAATTATGGCTACTTGTCCAGAATTGAATTGCACATCTCATCGTGCAAGCAATAAGAAAATCGGTTCACAACTGTTCTAGTAATAGCGGTGTAAAGTGAACATCCTGTCGCCGCGGCGACGCGGCGACTCGGCAGCCGGCGCCGACCGGCGCTACGCGCCGCCTGAATTGTAGACTGTGCCGGGACGGAACGGAACTATTCCGTCTTTACATCGCGCTCCTTACCGCTGATTACGTTCGATTCGCGTCAAGTTTTGTGAGAAGACTAAGAAATGTACAGGCAATCTTATGGTGAAAGAATTTTGAAAATCAGTTGGTAAACAATTGAAATATGAACGTGTAAACACAAAATTGTGATTGTTGCGTTTCCCGCGTCGGCCGATCCCGCCTCAGCCGGCGACATGTTACTCTTAGCTCAGGCCTCTAACTGCCATATTTATTATTGGATTAACTAGAAATTCCTCATGCATACTCAAAAATGTATGTTCTTTCGTATAGTGAAGATAAAAAGACGTGAAGATATCGTTGTGTGATAATGTTTTCGTTGAATTTACTTCATGATGCATTTCCACACGGCTCAAAATTCATCGCAAAATACCGTTTGCCTGAGACACTTTTACTATGGAACTTGAATGCTTGACTACGATGACTATGCATTTCCATTCTCGCAGAGTTTGGGATATCACTAATCAGCAATCATTCATTTCAGAAAGTGTACACAAGCAAGCATGTCTTGACTCTGTCTTTCAAGGTCACGCGCGGTTGCGTGATGTTGATGCATGAAAACGGGGTTTGCCGCGAAAGTTATGAATGGCCCACTCCAATTTTTTCACAGTTGGTTAGGAACATTGTGACGGACATAATATGTAAAAATTACCCAAATCGAAGGTGACGTGTTTTTTGCTATTTAAATTTTTCTGTTTTAATTCAAGGTCAAATGCATTTCAAGGTCACTTCAATTTAATTTTATAATTAAAAATCAAAGTCTTATCAATTGCCTACAAGACGCTGTTAATATCATTTTGATACCAGAAAAGGAACCGGAGTTATAGACATTTAAAAAATTGGTGTGTGGCACTTTTGGCTATATTCGATGACCTATATCTCAGCGATACGTTATCAAATTGCGAAAATATTATACGTAACTCAGTTTTGAACCATGCCCAGTCTGCCTACAAATTTTCAGAAAAATCGAAGGGGATGACGGATTTCGGTGTTTGATTTGACGTGGAATGCCCCAGCTGCGACAATCAAGAAGTGTTCGCTCATTTTCGATTGATGATGATGATGCGTAAAAGTCGCAAAAGTACCCAATGACATTTCAAGCTTACCATGTTTTCCGCTTACGCTGCTAGCGATATCCATATCTTGAAAAGAGCCTAACATAAAATAGCAAGGAAAGTAGCAGATAGTTGTCCACAGAGATTCGGTTGACACGTGGGCA